ATAACAAGTTTTATCTATAATTATATTGTGATGCTTACCAGAGGCATTCTAGCTTTCCCTGTAGTAACAAAACCTAATGGATGTTTTAGTTCGTGGTCGTGTACAAGGAAAGGATATCGTATATTCCATGAAATATTTATTGAATGATAGGTCTGGACTCTGGACAAGATATAAGTTCTAAAACATTTATTTCTATTTTAATTAAAGTAATTTAAAAGAAAAAAAAGGTTCCAATATGAATGATCCGGATGATTGGGAGGTTCCAATATGACTTTCACAGTCTAGAGTTCGATTTCGGGCTAGGTTATTTTTAAAAAATAAACTTTAGCTATTTGATACATTGAGTTGGCCTGGCACCTATTTTGTTATTGGACAAAATTACTGCAATATACTTATCTTTTTTCATATTCGGCTCCTGCCTAAGATATTGTTAATTTTTATTGTAATAAGCACAATAGGATTATTTTCTGCTTAGTGCAGAGTGAGTACCTCATTAAACAAACTGTAGCCCACCACGATCTTCACTGGCCAACGACCAAGATGATTTTTTAGCACCAAAAGGGGAAGTGCAAGCCCACGATCCGCACGCTGCAATCCCTTTATTTGGTTGGAGGTTCTGATTACATAGCATAAAATACATATAGAATACACACTAAATATGAGTGGGCTTTATTATAGTTGATTGAGGGCTTACCCCTCTAATGTCGCCCAGCTGCAAATAGAACCCCGAGTGAATTCTTGAGTCAAAAAAAAGTTTTCTGTGAGGAGACTAACTGACTTCTTAGAGTTCTATTAGTGAAGATAAACCCCTAATTGCTAACTTTTTTTTAGCGTTTAAAAAGTATATGGGCCAAATTCACGTTAAACTCTTTTTTTTGTGAGGAGACTAACCAACTTGATGTAAAAACTACACTATTTTGGGTTTTTGAGTTGGAGATGCTCTAAGAGCTATGCTATCTCATCACCACAACCGACTTTATGTTATTTGATATTGGGCCACTAGTTCAACCTTAAAATTGGCGGATAAGTTAATGACGGGTAAAATTTTCTAGTAAAGCACAATATTTTTTGCCATGTTTGGCACCAGTCCATATGTTCCTCTGGCAGTTAATAAACATCAATAGATTTTACTCATAACTCGGTAGATATTCTTGGCTACACAAAAAAGCATAAAGAGAACTAATTTTTTCAATTATGATCACCAATTATAGAATTATTTAGTAACATGATATGATTTATCATGGCAAAAAAGTGAAAATGAATGCAAATTGTAAGGACGAGCTAATGATTAGGTTTGAAAACGAATATAAAATATCCAAATCTCAATAGACTGTTGAAATTAAAGTAGTCTTCCGTATTATAATTTATGAAAAGGAAATAATGGATATAATGTAGCGACTCGTTTTGCTAAATGAGTTACCAATGTATAGTAATGTAACGAGGCTCACATTATAGGTCATGTCAAAATGTATGAGCCCCGCACTTCTATCACTTGATAGCTCATTTTGTTAAGTGAGTGTCATCTCATAGCTACCGAAACCCTTATTATGAAAATGTAAAGTTTTTGATGCTCTGAAATACATATTCTTCTTAAATCTTTCCTAACAAGTAAAAAAAATCTTTGTTACATATTTATATGAAAATACTATGAATGATACGTCATATAATTTTAGCAAGATGCGGTACAAGAGATGGAATTGTGAGACCCATACATGTCAAATATGATTAGGTGGACGGATTTGGCAACTACAGCTCTCTCGTTATAGTTTATTTACCAAAATAAATTACACCCGTATATTTATTTTTCCTATTTATATTTATCAGAGATTTTGACAAAACTATCAGCGAAGAACCACAAGGTGCCGATCGATGCCTTAGCAAATCTCTCGCATTTGTTCACAGATATTTAGCGTATCCATCGTATAATTAACTTCCATGTATAATATTATATATAGCAATTAAATCTCCCTCCGCATTGCTCCCTCTATTTATTGCATTAATCACGCAGCCCGCAGGATTTCTTCCCTCGCCTTCCTTCCTCGTCGCCAAATTCCCATCCCGCAAGCGACTCCTCTGATGCGTTCAGGGTAGAGAGAAGGGCAAAATAGTAACTTCATCTAGTCACCGGGCCAGCCTTATATATATAAGTCTCGCCCGTCCCTCCTACCTGTTCCTCCTCCTGAAATCCAATGGAGTCTTCTCGTTTCACAGTTAAAATAAAAACCCACCCCCAATTTTTCTTCTATTTTACAAAAAAATTCTTAATTTCTAATCTTACTTTCATTATAAAACAATCGTGCAGATTGCTTGTCTATGGGCGCTGGTGACGATTGCCGTTCTGGTCCCGTCGGAGTGCACGAGAACCAGGGCACGCCACGACCGGCGTTGGGGAGGGGAGCGAGGGCCGGAGCTGGAGCTCGACCTCCCGCGGGAGGCTGGGTGTAGGGCCCACGTGAAGAACCTGACGGAGTTCGGCGGGGTGGGGGATGGGGCCACCTCCAACACCAAGGCCTTCAACGACGTACGCTGAGCAAGTTCTCCGACGACGGCGGGGGCTTGTTATACGGCGGCCGCGGTAAGTGGGTGACGGGGCCCGTTTAACCTGACCAGTCACTTCACGCTCTTTCTGGATCGCGACGCGGAGATTCTGGCCACCCCGACCCACGGTACGCACGCCCTCAGCTCTGCCCTCGCGTTTGTCTTTTTGGTGGTTCACGGGCTGGGTTCGGTCTCTAAAACAAACTAAGCCGGTGTTTGTTTGAGGAGGGGGGCTAATGATTAAGAATTAGTAGTTTTGTTAGGTCGATTGGTTTGAGGATTAATTCAATGATTCAATCGATAGACATTCTTTAATTTACTAAAAATGGTAATGCTACGAGTGAGGTGACTGCATACAAATCATTAATGGTGATTTGTATATAATACATAGAGGGGAATTCGGAAAATTAAGTCCTTTTCAGTCATTAAGTTATTGGGCCGTTAAGTTAATTAAGTGGACTGTATACAAATCATTGTTAGAAATATTTGACTAAATTAATAAACCAATATGTTAAAACCAGCAGCTTTGATACTCCAAAAACTCATTTCGGAGTACCGATGGCACGTTTGGTAATTTTTAACCGAAAACATAGCCCCTCTCATCCGCGGATTAAGGACTAGACAGTTAAAATGTGTTCCCCATCTAAAATCATAACTAACTTGAACTTTTGATAGAAATAACAGGGGCATTAAAGTTGAACAGAGCTGCACCAAATATGACGTTAACTTTTGATATAATTTTATCTTTATATCTTTCTAATTAAAATTTGAAAAACTCTTAACATGTATGATATATCCTATTTTCACTGAAAACATGTTGCTTGATAAAACTCGCATTTTTAACGAGAAAAAAACACGTACAGAGAAAATAGAGGAACATGGACACTTGTGAAAGAGAAATAAAAGAAAGACAAAAGGAAGTTATAATAAATGACGAAGGACAAGAATATCTTCCCTTAATTTTAGTTGTTTTTTTAAATTTTATAACAATTTAGAAATAAAAAACTCGTATTATCAGCGTACCGAAGCAACATCATGTGAATAATATACACAGAAAATATAAAGTACCACCCTCTAATCGAGCCAAAAAATGATAATAAAATAAAATCGTCTTCTTCTCTATTAATTTACTTCGGTAAAGACTTAGGGGGTGTTTGGCAATCTGAAAGTAAATTTAAAATATGCAAGTTATTTTTTTTCAAATGACTTTTACATCCATGTCAGCATGTAAGTGAAATGCAATGTTTGTTTAAAAAATTAATTTATTATCGAAAGTGCAATATGAAGATGATGTGGCAAAATAAGATTAATTAGAGAGTATAATTAAAATTATTTAATTAAATTATTTTTCTTTTTTTTCACTTTCATGTGACTTCACTACTATTTTAGGGGAAGTCAAAATTATATTAAATTATATGTGGCAACTTTCTTGCATCTTACTTTCATAACCACTTATATGAAAACAAACACCTTAATTGTTAAATGAAAGTAACTTTCTCACTTTTATCTTTCACTTGCATGCAAACAAACACCCCCTTAAAGTCGGACAATCTCCAATATTTGACTTGAGGCCTGCAAATTCTTCTCTCTCATAAAATGGGCACACGTAGCGTTTGGACTTTTTTTGCCACTAAAGAAAGGAAGATGTAAAAAAAAATGAAGAAAAAGCCGCAAGAGAAGAAAAGTAACGGCCTCACGCTGCACATGAACAATAGGGGTTGGTGTAACTAAACATGATTCTGGTGGTCCCACCGCTGAGAAACCGTCGGTCACGCTCCGCTGCAGACGTCATGGTGCGCTAATTACCGGGGCCTCATCTTTAACTTTCTCGTTCACCGCGAGTGACCACATCCGAGGACCCCCAACGCACCAAATTTCTCTCCTGTTCATGTGTTCCCCCTCATTTTAGGATCCAATTCTTTCATAATACCCACTTAGGTCATGTTTGGTTGATAAAAAGTGGTAGAAGTAAGAAGTAAATCAAATCTATTATTTCTGAAATTATGAATTAGGAAGTAACGGAAGTACTTATGTTTTTTGTTTGTTTCTTAAATTTATGAAAGTAGAGGAAATAATGTTTCTTCCACTTCATTAACCTCTTTTTTTTGTTTGGCAGCAATAATAAATATTGTTAGGAAGAGGAAAAGATGATTTTTCGGGATTTTATTTAGAGTATGAAAATATCCATATAATAACAAAAATGATTTATTCCTAAATTGACTCAATTTCATCTACTTCTGAGGTACTTCGGAGCCTTGAGGGGAGGAAAAAGATTCAAGAAGTAGAGATGCCACTTAGGTGCCACGTCAACTTCTTAGGAAGTATTGGAAGTGTAGCGTTTTCAAAGAAACGAACATACTTTTTCTTCTCGAAAGTAACAGAAATGACGCCTATTTCATTTACTTGGCATACTTCATAGCTACTTCCATATAAACAAACAAGCGCCTAATTAGAATAGGACAATGTGTGTCAGTTCACGGGTGGATATAGAGTTAGCTTAGAAAGTTTAGTTTCTCTCTTTTTGCTCAAGATCGTTCTGCTCCTGTAGGAGGGTGGTTTTGATAGGCTCTGTATTTCTCCTATTAGCTGAACGAACTATAAGGATATGCATAATGATGATGCCACCGGCTAGTCACATTTTTGAGCCCTCATTTTAACTTTTGTTAGTTCATTTCACAAATTGTTCTCGTATTTATTACCAGTATTTATTTAAATTATTCGTAATTATTTAAATTATTAGTTGAACACGTACGGGCTACATGATTTTTAGCAAAACTTCAGCGGAGATCTCTAACGTATTCATCGAATACCAATCAGGTCTTTTATTTTTTCTGAAGTCATCGTTGGGACACTGACAAGATTCAACGAAAATTTGTTTTAGAGAAATTAGGTCATACTTCCACCGATGACTATCCAATATTTGTTTGAAAAATCTGCGAGGAACCTTTCACTCAACTTTTGCCTTATAGGATTTTCTATAGCTAAGATCAACCTCCCCCATGAATTTATTCCCGTGTGTAACGGGCTAAGGGCCCAGCAAAGAGATTGATCTTAGTCTACTAATGAGACTTTTCTTTTGAGTCGTCTGGGCTCTGTTCGTTGAAGACTAGAGGAGGGCGGTTAGCAATAACAACTCTTGTGTCGTGTCATGGCCCAACTAAAATTGACTTTTCTCAACACAGAGAGAGAAAAGAGTCTTTATAGTCCGGAGTACGTACGTACCCTTTCAATGTCCAGGGGAAGAAAAAAAAACATTTGATTGAGCTGACACACAAGAGGTCATAAGTGCAAGATGTGCCAATCATTAATCAGTGATTCAATTTAGGTAACTATTTGTGACGAACAGGTGGCTAAGCTTGGTATGATCAAAATATTGTTCCGGAAATTTTGTTGATCTACAGTGCCATTGTGAAAGATTGGATGGCTCTCAAGTATGCCATGAACAGAGCTAGCTCGAAGGAAGCAATGAGTTTTATCTCTCGTTTTTGTAGGAGTCCAGAATGCGAAATTAACTATTCAATTGGCACTTGACCCCATGATTCCTTGACCCCCTCTGGTTTTAGTAGTGTTCTTTTCATGTTGTTGTCGAAAATCTTAAGAGTGCACCATAACCAGATGCTTGGTTTTTAATCTTACATCATTTAGGACGTGAATGATTGGCCTCTAATCGATCCCTTGCCTTCGTATGGGAGAGGAAGAGACTCGGCTGCTGGTGGAAGATACAGCAACCTCATTATGGGATCCAACCTTACCGACGTCATCATCACCGGTAATTCCTTAAGTTATTCTTTGTTATTTTTATGATGATATATTTGATGTTAACAAGAACCAAGTACTTGATCATAGTTTTGAGTTGGATATGGCCGGTGCTTACTCTTATTGGTCCACACTGAACTTATATCTCTCTCATTACAGGAAACAATGGAACAATCAATGGTCAGGGCAAGATCTGGTGGGATAAATACAAGCAGAAAAAGCTTGACTACACTCGTGGGTACCTGCTCGAGATACTTTATTCAGATCGTGTCCTCATATCAAACCTTACGTTCAAAGACTCTCCTTCATGGAACATTCATCCGGTTTACTGCACGTAAGCAAAAAATTCCTCAAAATTGTTTATCGCTACGATTTTTTTACGTATCGTCTAGCTTCAGTTTATCTCATGCATGTTTCTGATGGAGATAATTTGAATTTTGTGTAGCAATGTTGTAGTTTCAGGTGTGACAATCCTTGCACCGGTTCAGTCGCCAAATACTGACGGGATTGATCCAGGTACTTATCCAAGATTTATTTATGTGCAGACATTTTCCCCCCTCCAAAATATTGTTCCCTAGTAATAGAAAAGAGAGTGTGTTGGAATTATACGCAGGATGTTACTTGCACAAGGAGAGACTCAACTCTTCCTGCTTTAGACCAAACGAAAAGAACTTATGTTAGACACATGAGAAAAATTTCATCACCACGATATTTAGTGAGGAGTTTGATAGCGAAATAGGAAAATGCGAGACAGAATATTGACAGCAGAACGGGAAATTGCATATAAAGACATTGATAATAATTAGTTATAAGTCTTTAATTTAGTGTGTGCAGAAATATTCACTGGTTCTTTTTAACGAATGGCAGCAGATATTGTAATTATGCGACAGTCAAAAACTAGTTGGCTCTCTCGTGTCTATATCTATACTATTATAAGTTTTCAAAAAAATTCCTCAATGACCCAAAATATGGGACCAATAGGGAGGACAAGTGAGGTGTCCCCCTCCTATTGGATAAAGAGTTGGCCATCATTAATGATAGCCAATTCATTATCCAATAGGAGGGGGACACATCACTTGTCCTCCCTATTGATCCTATATTTTTGGGTTCCTGTAGCAAAGCTCTAAATTTTCTTTATTTATCTAATGTAGGGTTCTCAGTAACTATAAGAGGATCTATCTGCAACAAATTAAAATATTAGAAGATCTCTCTCCAACACATAACACGTTATGACATCCATGTAACAGTTATATAATCAAGAGGTTTTCAGTTTATACATATGATGACATAAATGGTAATAAAATATAGGGGTTTTTGTTTCTAGCTCCATTTGTTTACTCAACTTTACCTCAAAACTCAATCACTATTGCTTGTATTCTTAACCCTTTTTTTTTTTGCTTTTAAACCTAATTTCGAAAATACAGTAGGTAGAGAACTTGTATTTATACACAAACATGGTAAAACCCCCAAAATACCCCTTTCAATACCCCCACTTAAACCAGTACCTCTCTCTGCTCTTCTTCCCCCTTTTCATCTATGAGCCCTAACTGAAAAACTCAATGTCCCCCTTCTCGTGCCTGTCGCTGTCTCGTGTCTGTCGTTGTCGTAGTCGCCGTCTCGTGTCCGCTCTCAGACCTTGTCGATGCTTCCCGTGCTGGTCAGCTCCACGAACCATTTTTTGCTACTGTAATTCGTCTAGTGAACCCTTCTGATCAAAGAAATCATCTATGATTGTGATCATGATTGCACATTTTACAATTACCTAGCGAACATCACCGATGAGAGGGAGGGGTGATACTGTGGCTATGCAAAAATAGCAAGTTGTAGTTGTCTCTCTTCCAAATTCGATTCAGAAAGGCATTAAGAATTAATTGATGGATTGATAAGTGGGTGAGAATTAATTGATGAGTTTATAAGAGTAGAAGAATATAGTAATAATGAATGAGAGAGGTGAGTTAATTTAGAAATGGGGTGAGAGAAAGGGAGGGGAGAGAGAGGGAGAGAGAGGGAGAGAGGGAGAGGAACCGTTCCCATCGTTTCTCTCCTCTCCCGTGCCTAACCGCATTAGATGCGGTTAGACGCAGAGGGGAGAAAAACAGGGGAACTCCGTTTCTCTCTCTCTCTCTCTCTCTCCATTCTCTTAAAGTTTTTACATTTTTTTAAAGGGGCCCACTTACATGAGGTAAACTGAAAGGGTATAATGGAATTTAAGGAAAAAATTAGGGGGGCTCATATATGCAAGTATTGCATTTTGAAAGTTGGGTTTAAAGACAAATACAAAAAGATAATTAGATTTAAAGATACAAACAATAGTGATTGGGTTTATAGATAAAACTGAGTAAACAAATGGGGATAAAAATAAAAACCCCAAAAATATATTAGAGGCAATAAGTGGCGAACCCTTTTATACGTAGAATTCGCAGTTAACATTTCTGTACTGGTGACTGAGAGCTCAATAAACGATTGTGTTCATATTCAAGACATAACCTTCATATATTTCCGTCAAACCTTCAGACTCATGCTCCGGAGTCCGGATCGAGGACTGCTTCATAATCTCCGGCGACGACTGCATTGCAATAAAGAGCGGCTGGGATGAGTACGGCATCAAGGTCGGCCTCCCGAGCGAGCACATCATTATTCGTCGCCTCACCTGCATCTCCCCCACCAGCGCTGTCATCGCCATTGGCTCCGAGATGTATGGTGGGCGTCCGCGACGTACGAGCTGAGGACATCACCGCCATCAACTCGAGTCCGGTGTCCGATCAAAACCGCTGTTGGCCGTGGCAACTACATCAAGGACATCTTCGTCCGTCGCATGAATCTCAGCACCATGAAGTGGTGTTCTGGATGACAGGCAACTACGGGCAGCACGCGCGGACGATGGCTGGGACCCGAAGGCGATACCTCAGTCACCGGGATCAGTTACAGTGACGTTGTGGCGGCGAACGTGACGATGGCGGGGAAGTTGGATAGGGGATAGATGGAGCTCCATTTAAGGGGATCTGTATGTCAAATGTTACGGCGGAAGTGATCGAGTCGAAGAAGCCTATATGGAACTGTACGGATGTAGAGGGGGTGTCGAGCAAGGTGAGCCCGGTGCCGTGCTCGGCATTGCCGGAGAATGGGCAGGCTTGCCCTTTTCCTAAGGACAGGTTGGAGGTTGAGGATGTTGAGTTTGGTAATTGTTCGAAGTAAGGGAGTTTGAGGGCAAAGTAGTAAGTTCGCGTGTGATGTAGAGAGGATGAATGCATAGTAGGTTTTATATGTGTAGACTCTACAAGTTGATGAGAGAAAATAAATTAATTAGTATTTTATGAGATTTTTGGTTTTTTATAGCTCGGGTGTTGACTGTTAACTATCTTTTGTTTTCTTTGAATATATTGATATATTCTATTCAAGTTGTAATTCTTGACTATATAGCCTCTGCAACTACTACAGTTGTTTACGGAGACTTGTGTTTTGATTATTGAAGGATATTTCATTAAACCTTTGTCAACTTAATCAACTTTGAGAGGTTGGTTTGGCCCCCACAACATCTGCTCCAAATGGAAATAAACTTATTACATATACTGCACTTTGAGCATTGAAAAAATGATGATATAAACGATTCGAGCTCAGTTTCATGCCTTGAAGATTAAAGCTTCAAATTTCCTTTCACAAGTTCCCTCCAATTATCATAATTTATCCCTACGGTTGTTTTTTTTAAATAAAGATTGATAATATCTCACTTCAGATGTACACGAAGACGTGCACTGTTCTCTCGGAGCCATTGTGCAAGAGCGAAATCTGATTTTAGCTTTAGTAATTTGTGGATCGCAGAAAGTTTGTCTCGATATCAGCTCTGCTTTTTTAGACAAAAAAGCAATTTATACCGCATCAGATATAGCAGAACAGCCAGCATAAAGCATTATATTGCAAGAATACTTCATATCCATATCAGGTCTTTACATAACGATGTTTTCTTATTCCTACAGAAGACACCTAAGCCACACCAATGCAAATATACAGAGCTTACAGAGCCAATGCTCAAATAGATAGTATCCATAAATTCTTCAGATTCACAAATTTATTTTACAAAAGTCACACTGTAACTTCAGCACCTTCATACAATCATCATCTTCATAACGGAAAGGGCCACTAAAGCGGTCTAAGCTCCTTCTTGTTGGTGCTCTTTATATATTTCTTCAAGCGTTTAGATGAAATATGAAGCGTCCGCAACATGTCTCAAAAGCATATACAGTGCAAAGCCAAATCTTGCACAAAATCATATGTCGAAAGATTGCATCCAAATATTACTCTTGGTAACTGATTGACCTGCGAGATCATTATATAAGGGAGTTAGGATAAAACAATAACGTATAGAGAAGTTTATGGGCGAAGGTCATACTCTATCTTTCTCAGCTGATTTCAGCGCTCACCTTCAGTTTTTCTCAGTGTGCTGGATCTGGATTGAACTTCAAGGACTCCTTCCAGATGAGCTCTTTGATATTTTCTTCAGTGATGGATGGTTGCTCAAAATCAAAACTGAAAGGTCGTGGGCAGACTGGTTCGTCGTTTATGTCATGAAGAGATGCAAGATATGGGTGACAAAGAGCCTCATCAACTGCATGAAAAGAATGTAATGATAAAACATACAATAAAATTCACAGATAAGGAACCATAATGATAATGAATACAGTAGAATCATGGAAAGAAGCAGACCTGTGATTCGCTTGTTTGGATCAAAAACAAGCATTTTCTCTAGGAGGTCAACAGCTCGGGGAGACATGTTTGGAAATCTCAGAGAAAAGTTTTGCTTTGGATATTGAGGGAGTTGTCTCACATATCTTCTTGCATTATCACTCCGTAGAAATCCAAGGCTTGAGTCGTCCGGTGAGCCTATTAGCTTTTTGGAGAACAAAGCGTCATGTCATGTTCAGATAATATGGCAGAAAATCATAATAACAGCATCAAATGAAATGGAAACTAGTAACTGAGAATTTCACAGAAGTGAATTATGCAGTGTTGTAAATCGCCATAACCGTGGGCCTGTCGCAACATTCAGATGCAGCCCTTGGCCACTTGTATTAGCCAGTAATAGTAGAAACTAAGTCAAGAGAATGCATGGAATTGAAGTGCCTAAAGCAAAGGTTACAGTATTTGCTAAGCAGCCTAGGCGTCGGACGGAGCTTAGAGTCTAGCCGAGGCCTAGGCTTTTTTTTAAATGAAAAAAATTGATAAAAAAAGCATTAAATTCATAGAAAACTGCACCCAAAAAATTCATAGTCATTATCAACCAAAAGCATAAATAGACTAAATAGTAAATATTAAGCAATGTTACAGAAAGCGTTCCGCTGGACTAATGCATAACATCCGGGCATGGACTGGGCAGATTTATTTTTTTGTTTAAGTGGTGAAGGAGGAGGTTTTGCTGAAGGCCGGAGGTGTACCTGGTGGAGGCCGGAGGAAGTCAGCGAGCGTGAAGGCGACAGTGAGGAAATCATGATCAAAACCCAAGTGGCGCAGTTTGTGTAAGCGGCCCATGCTCCCTAGGCGCTCTCAAGACCTAGGTGGGCAGCCTAGGTACCATTTAGGCCTAAGTGGGCTGCTGCGCCCGTCAATGTTTTAAAAAGCGGGCAGCCTAGGTACCACTTAGGCCTAGGTGAGCACTAGGCAGGTTAGGCGCTAGCTTTTTAATACATTGGCC